AGGCAATAAGGGTCCAACAAATTGGCCGTGAAGAAAACAGCCGAGTAGATGAATTAGCCGGCCTCACTTCCATGGTCGATAGCACATCTCCCAGCCCTCTCCTAATTGAATTCCTTCTGAGGCCCAGCGTTGAGGAAGCCGAGCAGACAGAAGTACTCTGCACCGAGCTAGGTCCTTCATGGATGGACTCAATCATCCTCTTCTTTAAAGATCGGACCCTTCCCACCGACAAAAAGGAAGCACATAAAGTCCGAGTGAAGTTAGAGCGGTTTTGGCTCTCTCCATCTAGCGCTTTATACAATAAGTCTTTCACCGGTCCCTATCTCAAGTGTGTACACCCAAGCAGCGTGGAATCTTCCCTGTACGAAATTCACGAAGGCATATGCGGCAGTCACATATGGGGCAGATCTCTAGCCTACCGGCTATCTCACAAGGATATTGGTGGCCGTGCATGCAAGCAGACGCGCAGAAGTATGTTCGCAAATGTGAGAAATGCCAGAAGTTTGCCCACCAAATCCACCAGTCGGCCAGGGAACTTCTTCCCCTCACCAGCCCTTGGCCCTTTGCGATGTGGGGGCTAGATATAGTGGGGCCACTCCCAACGGCACCAGGCAATCGGAAGTTCTTCATCGCGGCTATAGACTACTTCACCAAATGGGTTGAAGCTGAGCCTTTGGCAACAATCAAGGAGAAAGACGTCAAACGGTTTGTCTAGCAGAATATGGTAACGCGGTTTGGCGTCCCCAAAATTCTGATCTCTGATAACGGCACCCAATTTGACGGCCGCCTATTCAAAGGATTTTGTGAAGACTTGAAGATTGAATTCTACAACCCTACCCCAGCTTACCCGCAGTCTAACGGTCAAGCCGAAGCATCAAACAAGACCATTCTTGATGGGTTGAAGAAAAGGCTTGAGAAAGCCAAGGGAAAATGGGCCGAGAAACTCCCAAGCGTTCTTTGGGCATACCAAACGACCCCGCGGTGATCCACCGGGAAAACTCCTTTTGCTTTGGCATATGGCATGAAAGCGGTCATTCCTTTAGAAGTTGGTATGCCCACCATCCGCAGTGAAAGTTTTGAGCCCGAGCTGAACGCCGAAGCCATTGCCCTTGAATTGGACCTAGTGAAAGAACGCCAGGAAAAGGCTCTCATCCATGTGGCCGCCTACCAACAAGAGCTTTCAAGAAAATACAACAAAACGGTGCACCCCACATCATTCAAAGTCGGCGACTGGGTTTTGAGGAAGGTCATGGGCAAGACCCTGGTGCCAGGTGAAGGCAAACTAGGGGCAAATTGGGAAGGACCCTACAAGATAGCCGGTCTGGCGGACAAGGGGGCATACCACTTGTAGGACTTGGAGGGAAGAGGAATACCCCGGCCATGGAATGCGGCTAACCTCAAACCTGTATTATTTTTACCTTTTGTGTTCTTTTTGTGCAAAGGAATTTTTTGCCTCACTCTTCAGAATATAATATTCTTTTTGTCAATATAATAGAAATGTCTCATCTTTGCTTTAGCATTCAGATTGTTGTTTTCAACTTTGAGATTCCAACCGAGATGTTTTACTCTGGTTAATTGAGTTGATGATTTACTCAACTTTGAGATTCCAACCGAGATGTTTTACTCCGGTTAATTAAGTTGATGATTTACTCAACTTTGAGATTCCAACCGAGATGTTTTACTCTGGTTAATTGAGTTAATGATTTACTCAACTTTAAGATTTCATCCGAGATATTTTATTCCGGTTGACTGAGTTGATAATTTACTCAAACTAGTGAATGTCAACCGAGATGTTTTATTCCGATTGACTGAGTTGATAATTTACTCAAACTTGTGAATGTCAACCGAGATGTTTTATTCCGGTTGACTAAGTTGATGATTTGCTCAACTTTGAGGTTTTCAACTGAGATGTTTTATTCCGGTTGACTAAGTTGATGATTTACTCGACTTCTTTGAACTTCAACTGAGATGTTTTACTCCAGTTGACTAAGTTGATGATTTATTCAACTTTTGTGAAACTTTAACCGAGATGCTTTACTCCGATTGATTGAGTTGATGATTTTCTCAACTTTATGATTCAAACCGAGATGTCTTTTCCTGTTAAATAAGTTAAACAAGATGGTTTGTTTTGCCAAAGTATTTTGTCCGGCTGAAGTTATTTAGCTTGAAAATCGTGCAAACACTTGATGAAAATTGAACTTTTTCATTGATGTGCAAAATAATTACAAGAGGAGGGGCAGATAGCCCGGTTACATGTTCAAACAAAAAGAAAGAAGACAAAGAAAACTACGGTAGGGGGGAAAGGTCTGTGAATTCATCCCCGGTCGCGACCTCCAGGTCGACCGTGGTTGTGGTCTCCTGGGCGCCGGTCTTCTCCTGGCCGGCCTGATTTTGGCGGTTATCACCCTTCGCATTCTCATCGGAATCTTCAGCTTCTTCTTCCTCGGCCTCAGCCTGCAACGCGCTGAAGACGTTGTTGGCATAGCGCACGAGATAGGTCGGTAGAAAGGCAGCTGGAGAAGAGGCAAACACGTCGGTATCAGGTCCTTGGTCGAGCTGTTCACAAGCAGCCTTCCAGCCCACCTTGAAGAAGATGTCTTGGGTGGCATGGACCTGCTTAGTGTAGTTCTCTTCGGCCTTCTTAAAGCCGGCATTGTTTGCATCCCCCAGCTCCTCCTTTCTCGATTGCTTCAATCTCTCCACCTCGGTCTTGAGCGCATCTCTCTCTTGCTCGGCAACACCAAGCTGGCCAAGCAACTTTGAATTTTTAGAATTCGCCATCTGCAGTGATGCTTTGGATCGGCCGAGCTCGGCTTGAAGGTGTTCCACCTGGTTGGCAGAGTCGGTGGCCTTCTGCTGGAGTCGGTGAATGCGCTCCATGACCAAGTGTTGTTTCTGGATAGCCTGCAAGGAGAAGGTTTGATTAGAAAGAAAACCGAGCAAACACTTGAAAAAAAATTTGGCAAAATGTGCAAAGTTCTTACCCTAGTCATAGACTTGACCGAGGATTTCACCAGCTAGGTGTCCAGCACATGGTCGCTGCCGACAATGTCGTTCGATAGCAACAAGGCTTTGGTGAGGTCAAAGGCGAGCAGATGCTCCTTGTCGCCCTTGACAGAAGCTGTCGCTGGGATCTCTTTACCCCGGTGCTTGAGTTGGGGCCTCCATGGTGGAGTTGGGTCAGCTATCACGGCAGGTTGCTCGGTGTTGAGCTCCGCAACTGGTTCGGCGGAAGGGTCTGCAGGTGGCCTTTTGCCAGCCCGGTGGTTGTCCTTGCTGGCTTGCCCGACGGCAGGAGACGTTAATGCAACCACGGTCCTGCTGGATTGCCCGGCAGCAAGCGAGCGGGTTGGGATGCTCGGTATCTCGGTGGAGGTGACAGTGATGAGGTTCTTAATGCGGCTTCTTTTGGCCATCTCTTCTGCCTCGGTCAATCGGATGAATGGCACGTCCGGTAATGTGGGATCGGGAGGTGGAGATGGAGCGCGAAGAAAGTCTATGACTTTACTCCGGTGTGGAGCTGAATATCTGTATGTCAGTTTGTAACCGAGGAGCTCGTGGCAATCCCGATTGCAGTAGCGGAGCACGGTTCTGATGGCTGCTTCGTTGGGATAATGATAGTGGGCTTGCAGGACTTCAATTGCTACAAAGGAAAGTAGAAAAAAAAAATGTCAAATACAGAATAGTGAAGAAAGATAATTGACCGAGCAGTTAGCACGGCTTACATGTCTCGCCGAAATTCTTGCTGATAAACCATCCCGATACGTCGGCAGTTTCGTAGTTCCCAGACACCCAGATAAATTCATCGTCGTGCAAGTCCTTGTCTGGGGTGCCGGTCACTATCTTCTCCTTGCCCGGTCTGATTTTTAAATAGTAGGCAAGGCCATCGCCTGTATGCCCGAGGGTATACTAGCGCAGTATCTCGGCTAGTCCTAGGTTAGTTCCTAGCCGGTTGTTCAGTTCATGGATCCCGTTGATTATTCTGTAAGTGTTGGTTGAGACCTCGGTTGGAGCTAGCCCGGTGCGCCGCAAGAATTCGTAGATCAGCAGGTTACTGGGAAATGGAGGCCCCCTTCTATAATGGACAGTACAGTGAAGGGACACTGGTCTAATATGTCCCATGGGGTTGTGTTCTCAACGTCGAGCTCTAAATGAACGTCGTTCGGGATACCGTACTCTTCTCGGAATACGGCCAGGGCAACCGGAGTGTCGACAAGGAAGCGGTAGTGCCCCATGTGTAGCCGGCTGGTTTAGCTCGGCTAAGGTGGTTTGGCACAGACTAGTGTTTGATGGCTGCTCGGTCTTTGAGAGCCTCGGTATTGGTCAGTGGTCCCCTTGGACTCTGCAGGAAAAAGAGGGTAATTGTAAGTGGAAGCGCGGTCGCGCAAAATGAGCTTGACTTTACCTCGGTCAGGAAGAGTGCCAGACCACCTCGGTCGCGAAGGCAAACCAAGGAGCTTGATCGCTCAAGTGAACCAGATGTCAGCCCGGTCGAGCTGCCAAGTCCTCTGCCTACCTCGGTTTCTATTAAGGTTTTGGCAAACTTGTAATTTGCTCGGTCTTAACATTTTTTTTGGATCAAAAGAAGACCTGGAGCCCGGTCTGCCCCTGATCTTCAGGTGTTCATCAATGAAGCTGAAGAACAGCAAGGAGAACAAGGGGCAGGGGAGAGTTTTGGGGAGCTATACCCTAAAATCTATGGTTTTAATGCCCTAAAACAAGAAATATCAAATGAAATAGCCACAAAAAGATTCAAAGAGCTTACCAGTAGAGGCGAATGTAGATCCTTCAGGCACGAACGCAGAAAGAGGGCAAGAGTAGGAGCTGCTAAGGGCACTGGAGCTCTGGATCGACAAGAATGAAGGAGAGTTAGTAAGAACGAAAAGTGAAAGGGAAGAGACGTATAAATAGAAGTGAGAGACCGCCAAAAATTTTGAATATGAAGGGACGTGATGGTTGGCTGCTCGAGGCCAACAAACGAACGACGCATGTCCTAATTAATGGCGGGGTTAGAGTTAAAGAGACAGAAAGGCGAGATGAGACATCGGCCAACCAAATCGAGGAACAGAGCACTGGATTTAGTGTGGTTGACGTCTTGCAAACAACAGACCGAGGAAGGGTCTACCCTGGTCGGATCATGTAATCCCGGTCATGCTTTTGCGGACGGAAGTAAGGGGCAATTGAGAAGGAGATTTTATGAGCTGAAAATGGGCCATGGTAAGGGCCGGGCAAGTTGAAGGCCGAGCGCGTTTGGGCCAGGATAGCTTTGGGCTTGCACGGAGATGGGACTGCTCGGCTAAAGCCCAAGACCGAGCTACTTGAACTTACACAAGTGGGAACCGTGCTACTTGCGTTGCTCCGCAGAAAGGCTCGCGCCTTTAGCTCGGCAAGAAGGCCTTTGTTTTACCCGCATGACCTATTTTGAGCTCGGCTATTCCAGGATGCAACTGAGTTCAGTCGGTATGGAGCTCGGCTAGTGAGCATTCAGGCATGCGGCGTAGCACGGCCGTGTGAGGCCGAGGTGATTCCGCCAGTCTATCGGGCTCCGCCAAGATATCCTGACAGTTTGTTTAGGTGGTGATTGCTGGATTTGTGCTGACAGATGAGATAGCAGCACCACGTGTCGAGAGACTAATGGGAGTAGATTTGGGGCGCAGAAGGTATATAAGCGTGTCTGCGCCCCCCATGCTGAGACAGATGATCATTTTGGTGAGATACACTTAGACATTCAACACTCTCCTCTCCCCCTTTATCCCTGAGTGTGTGTTAACTTGACCATCGGAGGGGTTTTTCGGCCACTCACTGCCGTTGTGTTCGCAGGTCGATCGGACAGACAGGGAGCTTGGAATAAAGGAGTACGGGCTCGCTGGAATATTTGCACCCCGTACAAGGTACAAACTCTATCTATGAACATGCTGAGGTCTGGGCAAGCTCTGTTGTGCTAGCCCGACTTGGTTAATTATATTTGTCCCATTCTAGGCTATGTTAGAGCTCAGACATCCAAAAGGCTTTCAGTCATGCCCAAGCCCAAAAGTTCTACCAATTCCCAAGCCCAACTGGTCTACCAGTATCCATTCGACTGGGGTCTCGTAATAGCACATACCCTCGGAAATCAGTCGCGGCCAACCTAGTATCTACCCATCAATGTTAAATCAAAATCTCAAATTCAATAGTCATTGAGCTATTTTATACAAATAAGGTGCAGATCAGTAAATAGAGAAGTTTGACCCCCAGTCAACTACATCAGTCTAGTCTGTCACTTTCTTCATGTAAAATATGTTTATTTGCATTAGAAAATGACTATGCTAGAGGTAGCTTCTTGGTACCTTATGAAACTTCTTTGCATGTAAGCGTTGGAGTGAAGTAAGTTTATAGAAACATAAAATCAAATTTTTTGAATAGTAACAAGACACAAGCAGAGCTTAAGATTTCAATCTGTCATGAAAAATATACATGCTTCTTCCTCACTTTTTGTAATCCTTTTCATAGCCACATTCACAACTCAGTTGGCCAATACCACTGTTCTGGTCATTTATATATTCGGTGACTAACTGTAGATGTTGGGACAAATACCTACATTCCCGGGAGTTCAGCAAGAGCAGACTTTCCTTTCATTTACTTTTCTTCAAAGATGACACTGAGTTCAATTCAATTTCACTATGTAAAGTTGTTTAATGAAACTGAAGAAGACGTGTTGGAATTGCAGGCTCTATACAACTTTGGGGCTACAAAATTTGGCATCATTGGCATTCCACCGGTTGGATGCTGTCCAGCTTGGAGATGTTACAATGCTACCAGAGGTTGTCAGGAGGGATTGAACGATTTTGCCCAAGCTTTCCATTTTGCATTAGATACCCTGATGAGAAAAATCAGCTCAGAGCATCCGAAGATGAAATACTCACTGGGAAATACATATGAATTGATCATTAATGTCATGCAAAATCCTAGTCCTTTCAATAAGCAATCTCTCTAAAATTCAATTATAGATTGAAACTGAAGAATTCTCTTAAGGAGGTATTTGGCCACAAAAAGACAAATTTTCAAGGACAATGTTTTCTTATCCCTGTGACACTTGATTGAAAGCGACATATTTAGTTTAGTTGATTATTGCAAAAACTGAATAAAAGTAGGGTATAATCTTATTGTTTTAAACTTTCTTCCAATTTTCTCAGATTTTAAGGATGTGGAGACGGCATGTTGTGGAGCAGGAAGATTGAATGCAGAAATCCCATGTAATGCGACAGCAAATCTTTGTATGAACCGCAAGGAGTACCTATTATGGGATTTGTATCACCCTACACAAACTACTTCTCAGCTGGCAGCACTGACACTCTATGATGGTCCTCTAAGATTTGTTACCCCAATTAACTTTCACCAATTGGCCGAGGACAATTAGCCAACTAGCAATTTTAGCTCTTTGATCAGTCCCTATCAAATGTGTGACTATGTGTGACTCATTGTAACCAAAGAAGTGTTCTTCATTGAGGCTATATGCTTATTTTGATCTATTTTCATTTATGTATTTGCGATCAACAGAAGAAGGAACTTACTACCAGCTTATTCATTTATGAATACTACAATATGGAACATATGGTTTTTTTTTTTTTTTTTTGGATAAAAATAATATGGAAAGTATGGCTTTGTTTTTTTGTTTTTGTAATTCCAGCCGATTTTCCAACAGTTTTCTAAGTTTACTACACCTTGACTTAAGTTATCATTGGAAACTCTAGACAAGAGCTTGGTAGCCATTTTGTTTGTAGTCTTCAAAATTTCGTCACATATCTCATTAGCACGTATCATTTGTTCCATTGCTCGCCCATATTATTGCCGCCTTCTATGTCATCCAATAAAATTATCATTATGTTTGGAGGATATTTTTGTTCTTGTTCTAAGCAACTTTTAACTTGAAAGTAAAATCATGTTACAAAACAATTGTGTTTTGAGTAATTGTCAATATTGTATCAACTCAAACCTACGCATAGTTATCATAAAACTTGACAACTCAAGTCAGAATAAGATAGAGAATGGCATCAAAATTACTTTAGTGTATGAATTAAGCAATACAAGACAGAAAAAAGTTCAATGATATCTAAAACTCATTCCACCTCTAAACCTAATAACCGTGTATGAGATTGTGACAAGAAAATGATGCATATGTTTGTTTATTGGAAGATTGATATTTAGAACTTGAATATGATCAACATCAATGATTCTATATGTTACATACATTGGTCATCTTATTTTGATGACAATAATGTTTGATGGTGTCTGGAACTGGTGTGGTTGGTCTGAGCTCCCGGATAGCCCAGAATAGGAAAGGAAAATGTAAATTTTAGGTGGTATCGGCATGGTGCCAGTCTTTCCAAAGACTCTCCAACAGTCACGTTGGTATGCTATAAGAAAGCAAGAGAATTAGAGCTTTTTTTTTTGTGTTGGCTTACCTCCTAAATTGATCTTGCCAACCTTATATAGCTTGGACCCACATGTCTAGAAGTGGTTTCTATTTGTCCAAGATTCCTTCTGTCTCTTGTGCTTATACATGTCTCTGCTTCCATTTGGATGCGCCATGTGGCTATGAGAGCAGCTAATCTGCTTCCCAAGCCAACTTTAGGATCAGGTCACTACAAACTCTATCTAAGAACATGCTGAGGTCTGGGCAAGCTCTGTTGTGCTAGCCCGACTTGGTTAATTATATTTGTCCCATTCTAGGCTATGTCAGATCTCAGGCATCCAAAAGGCTTTCGGTCACGCCCAAGCCCAAAAGTTCTACCAATTCCCAAGCCCAACTAGTTTACCAGTATCCATTGGACTGGGGTCTCGTAATATCACATACCCTCGGAAATCAGTCGCGGCCAACCTAGTATCTGCCCATCAATGTTAAATCAAAATCTCAAATTCAATAGTCACTGAGCCATTTTATACAAATAAGGTGCAGATCAGTAATAGAGAAGTTTGACTCCCAGTCAACAACATCAGTCCAATCTGCCGGTTTCTTCTTGTAAAATATGTTTATTTGCATTAGAAAATGACTATGTTAGAGGTAGCTTCTTGGTACCTTATGAAACTTCTTTGCATGTAAGGGTTGGAGTGAAGTAAGTTTGTAGAAACATAAAATCAAATTTTTTAAATAGTAACAAGACACAGAATTCAAGGAAAGCAGAGCTTAACTTTTCAATCTGTCATGGAAAATTTACATGTTTCTCCCTCACTTTTTGCAATCCTTTTCATAGCCACATTCACAATTTAGTTGGCCAATGCCACTGTTCCGGTCATTTATATATTCGGGGACACAACTGTAGATGTTAGGACTAATACATACATTCCCGGGACATCAGCAAGAGTAGACTTTCCTTTCAATGGAATTGTCTTTACCCACTCGAAACCAACTGAGAGGTTCGGCAATGCCCTCAACAGTGCTGATTTTATTGGTAGTACATACGTAATAACCTCGATCCGTAATTAGCTACTAATCCGTATTTAAGGATGTTAATGAGAGGATTAAAATAAATTATGTGTTCATTCCGTAGTTTGCATGATTTTGGCTTTCTATCTGTTACTTGTAGAAATATCTGTTTGGAATTCCGCTTTAATATAAAAATTGAAAGCCTTATCGGCATCCGAAACCGAAATTGATTACATCAATGTGTTATTTGGAATTTTTAGAACGCTATGGAAAATTTTATTAAAGATCCATTCAAAACGATTAATTAAGTTGTGTTTAGTTGGACCAATGTTCTAAGTGTTGTATTATTTAGCATTCCAACTATAAGTGGGCTTTAGACTCATTCTTGAACTCACACATATTTTCTTTGAGTGGAAAATTTTGAGATTACATTTTAGAGAGAGAGAGAGAGAGTTCATCTTTAGAGTGAGAGAGTGCAGAAATTGAAGAGAATTGAAGGCTTTGGCTTGAACTCATCAAGGTTATGCAAGGATCTAGTTAATTCAAGACTATAGGTATGAATTCAACCCCTAATTTATGGATCTAAGTCATCAACATGAAGATTATGAGTTTAAATGTGCACATTGAGCTTAGAATAGGAATTTGAGTTACAATTCATACATACATGCCCATGTAGGTGTTAATTTACCATGTTAGTTTTGTATTTCACCAATTGTGTTGAATATGGAGGTTGAATGGTACATGCATGCATATTTCATCAAGTTTTGTAAGTCAATCCCATGTTTTTGAAGTCTTGAAAGAGAATTTGGAAGAGAAATCCACATGCATGCATGAATATATGGAGTTTTGGCATGTTAAGTTTGATTTTAAGCATCTAAGTTATATTAGTAAGTTATTTGGTACTTGCATGTTAGAATTGCCATGTTAATCACTTAAGTTCATGTTTTGTAAGAGAATTTCTTACATGCATGGAGCTTATGAGCTCAACTTGATAGTTTCTTGAGTTTTGAAGAAAAGGGTTTGAAAATTTTACTGCATGCTTGTTTCTTAAATTTCAAGATGAAAGTGAGCTTTTGACAAAACCGTGGGCATGATTTTATGAAATGATCCTAAATTCCTTCATGTTTACTTCGAAGTTTATCTATGTTATCTCAGTTTTGGGGCCAAGAGATGTGTTTTGGAAGATCTGAATCGAGTTATTGAGCTTGTGATGCAATTGGAATTCCAGAATTTGCATCCAGTCGAGGCGTGGGAGTTCCACGCTCGAGCGATCTGACTTGAGTGCTGTGCACTCGCGTTGGAGCGACCAAGTCTGCTCGACGGTGAATTGCACAGTCCCAGAAGTTTCATGTCTTTTAACAGATCGCTCGATGCGAGGGAATATGGCTTGACGACCATCCTCATTTGCATGTGCCGCTCAGCATTGGAAGTTGTAGCTCTCGGTGAGCTGAGATTGAGACCAAACCAATACTTCTCCGGTTTGCAGATCGCTCGAACGTGAAGGAAGTCTCGTCTCGACGTTGACCCCCTCTCAAGTACTTTGCATTTCGCCGTTGACAAGACTGCCTGAGGCGAACTGGAGTCTCCTCGAGAGCGGTATGTAGACCTATTTTCAGAATTGTGCCTAAGTTATTCCAGGCATGTTTTTGGCACATCCTCATTTGCATCTTTAAGGCAATTCCTAAGACCTAATTAAGCTTTGATAATGAAGTTATGGCATTGAAAACCACACTAAGGTAGAATGTACTGAAAGTTATGATATTCAAGAGTGTGTTTTGAGCCATGTTGTTAAGCAAGAACCTATGTATAAGAAGCTAAGGCCGTGTTGCGACACATGAATTGAATGATAAGAAATGCTTTGTGTATGTATTTGTGATTGGTAGGTCAAGATTCGAGGATTGATGACGCATACTGGGGAAAACTGTGAGTCACGTTATATAAGATTCGTTTATATGAAATTTATCGTTCAAATGAAATGTGACTAAGCTATGATTTATGAAATTGATATTATTTTTCGTGAACGATAGTCCTGTTTGAGAATCTATTGATGGCATTCATAGAAGTCCAGTAATGGGAGACGCATGAAAAGGTGGGTCGCGTGACATACAAGTATACGAGATCTCATTAGGCCTTCATTGTGGGTGATATGTGTTTAATCAGTATCCGGAACGATTACTCTAGTAGAAGACGTTCTGTTGATGTGTCCTATGGGATGTACCATTATTATGTTTGCATATGAGAAATGATTATGCTCTGGTCTATTTTCTAGCTTATGATATATTCGGATTTTGTTCAACTAAACTCTTTATTTATATAATGTATAAGGGTGGAGCATTCTGGAGCCCGAGCTGAAGGTTTTGTCTAGATCTGTGTTCTGTTGTCAGGCAACCTTGTGCCTCCATTGGAGGTTCGAGCTCCAGTGGTTTAAGTTCCTGTCGTTTCTGTATATATAAGACTTGATTTGATGTCGTTGGCTGTACTTAAAATACTGTAATGGTTGGGTAATATGTATGAATGATATTTGAATATGTATTTAAAGTTTAAATATTCTTGTTCATATAGTCAGCACATGCTCATTGGATACTATATTTATGTATTTGCTTCCGCTAGCCCCTTAATCTTGTTAATCTGTTCAGAGGCCTTCGGTAATCCAAGGATTACTGGCCGGTTACGATGCTAAACCTATAGGGGCGGGTTTGGGTCGTGACAGAGTGGTATCAAAGCATGAGTTATACCGCACATACGTGTCCATATGAGCTATAGGATGTCTTAGAAATGAAATAGGGACATTGCATTATCATGTGTAAGTATGTAAGCTATTATGACCATGTCTTTATTGAAAATACATTGAAATGAAACGTTTGTGCATGATCAAAGAAGTTAAGTGAAATAACATGTAATGTTAATTTCAATATCGAATGTGAAATCTATGTGAAT